ATAGATTTGTCCATATTAAATAGTCGATTGTTCACATGTTGTAATCCCTTTTCTATCTGAATTGGCTATTTTAGTTGATTCGCCTGTGTTTTCACAGATATGGCATGCTTTCATCAACCTGTTGAAGTATGGTCGGTTCTATGGATTTTTTGGTTCTAGACTATCATCATCATAGCTACATCAATCCAGTCGAACCTCACTGTTGACGATAATAGATTAGATCTAGACGATTCGTAGGTTTGTCGATATCAAACAGTCGATTGTTTGCGTTACATATCCCTTTTCACCGGATTTATTGGCTCTACACCACATATTAATTAAATCTAATTTAGCCAGTGATGTATCTTTAACGCATGCATGTTAATAGCTTAAGGGAAAGGATCATTAAAACTGGGTGCATTGTATTCAATCAATCATGACCCGCGAGCGTTACAGTCCGTAACAGTCGATTTCTTCTCGTATTGGCTATTTAGTCGATTTTCCCGTCTGGCTGCTCCCGAAGCGGCACACTTGGAATTGTCTGGACAAAAACCAGCATGTTCCACCTTAAATTATTGATAAACTTTCTCTCCTTATCAATTGCAGGTCAAATTGACTGGCACGCTCTTGGGAATTCGTAGGATCGACTGGTCCTGCGTTGAAGCCAGGCAGATCTCCAGATCATTCCGGCCAGCGTGTCCACCCGTAGCGGCTACGTTTACATTTGGCGCTACCGACAATGAGCGCACAGTGTTGACCGAGCAAGTTGGGGGGGTTGGTTAAGTGATGCCAATGGAAGGCAACTTATTAGCTAATCCTGATTCGATCGAGGAGGCGATCCCGATATTTTGTGTCCCGACATGTTTTGCAAGAAATATATGATTTGGAGAACAAATACCATGAACGGTTGATGAGCAACAACATCCCTTAAAGCCAAAGGATCTAGGGTACTCAAGTAAGGGTTCATCTGGACATTTGACATGATTCCAAGCAAAGAACAAAGTTGACTTTGGACATCGTGAAATACTGGATCAAATCATATAAGTTGTGTTTGCTGAAGAAGCCACAAAGGGAGGTCGAGTGACCCCACCCTAGGTCGCCCGACCTAAGCACACCCGAACAGAGTCCACTTTGTACACATGCAAGGAAACACACCACGAAGTGTTGTGGCACGTTGATTCAATGTCGGTTGTACCCGAGGGTCACCATGAAGCCAAGTGGAGCACAAAGATCCATTGTCCCATCCAATAGACCAAACCAATTCAACTTCGACCAACTCACTTACCACACATCATAAGATGGACGACATATGTTGTTGGGTCAGATCAGGTGGAACGGTGTTTTCTGACAAAAAAAAATGTTTTCAACCTTTGATTTGGTGAAACATACGATTAATTGTTGTTTTCAATTGATTTTACATAAAAATTGCAACCGTTGCTTCCTAAATCCTAAGGCCTGTTTGGAAATCTCGTACTTGGTCCAAAATCAAATTAGTTGTATGGAAGATCAGTGAGCACAGTAATTTTACATGCAGATTAAACTAAACCTGTTGTAAAATAAAACATACCTCCTCAATTACTGTAAAACAAAATGACGGGCTGTTCGACGCAGTCGCATGCTTGGTTCTGGCCGCCTCCCTTCTTGTCGGCCCGTCCCGTCACACCGGACCGTGGATCTGGCTACACGAGCTCTCCGCACCATGCCGAATTTCTCTACCATTTTTTTCTTTCTCACTTTAGCCGATATGAGTTTTACGGCACTAGCAGCTACTCCATGAGCTCCAGGCCAAACCGATGGTCCGCCACCACCTCGCCCTCTCCGCGCCACCTCGCCCCTTCATGCTGCAGCCGCCGCAAGCAGCAGACAGTGTGGTCCGCGCGTAGCTTGTCCCGAAGCTTGGACGGGGACGGCAGCGACGAGGCCTCTACAGCGGTGTGCGATCCATTGATCTCGCCAGTTCAGAACCGAACGAAGGGAAGGGTCACTGTTTCCGTTCGTCTCTCTTGATTGGCTCGGACAAAGAACTTGCTTTTGGAATCCAACGGCGACGACTACACCATAACCTCAACTTCACAGACTACAGCATGGACAAGAATGGCCGGTCCGCCAGCAACCTGCTCAACAGCGTGCGTTACCAGCTGAAAGAGGTGTTCCGGCCCAGCGAACAGCACGGCGGAGTTCTAGGTTCCCGTGGATGGCCAGCACTACGACCTCTAGTGGAAGCTAGAGGAGAGCCTTCTGCGGTGGCTTTGTGATTGTCACGGTGGAGCACGGGTATAACGCCAGCGTGTTGGTCCACGACGTCATGCCCCAGGAGCTCCTGCAGATTGTGGTAGGTTTGGCGTCACGGCCATCCACATCTCTTAATATGAATCCTGCACCCAAACCGTGGGCACCCGCTAGGGCCACGTCACCCGTTAATTGGCAAACCGTTGGATCCGGCGGAAACACGATATGGACCGTTGGATCGGGCTCGTCGCGGGTCTCCAACCCATTAAGTCACGAACCCGGAAGGTCGCGACTGTTCGCGAACCCGCTCGGCGGACGACCCGTCCCGTCCCCGGCGCCGGCGCGTCTCCCTCCTCCCGCTGCTCCATCGTCCCCTGCCCCTCCTCCCTTCTCCCCCGCAGGCACTAAGGCACGGGTTGAGCACGGCGCCGGCGCGTCTCCCTCCTCCCGCTGCTCCATTGTCTCCTGCACCTCCTCCCTTCTCCCATGAGCACCGAGGCACGGGTTGAGCGCAGCAACGCCGGTAGCACTTGGGGCGCGGCAAATCGAGTGGGGCACGGGCGGACAGAATGGAGCGTGGGGCAGCGGCGCAAGCGCCGGCTAAATGGCCGCGCGAGACACGGCGACCTCACTCGCCGGCCTCCACCCTCCGCGTGCTCTGCTTTGTACGCAGCTACGGCCGCAAAGACACACCCTGCCTGTTAGCCCCAGCGAGAACAGGTATGTGGCAACCATGGTAGCAGGCGCTTGCCGACTGGCACCAGTACGTTCCGCCTAGCTCGGTCCCCGGACTCGCTCCCGTCGGCTGTCCGCTGTGGTGCCGCTATCTTCACCTCAGAGTTCTCGCTTCGTCTCCTTGGAGAGTCCTGCAATAATCTATTTTCCAAAACCTTTTATAGTTCCTTGATCTGCATTTCCATTAACAGTTAAGTACACAGCTTAGGTATTTAGTTATATCAGTTAGATAGTTCAGTTTGTTGTACAAATGGCTAGAAACCAGGTGTAGATTAGTTTCCATATGCAAAATCAAAAAATTTCATTTTCTTATTATTGTGGTACTAATGCCCTTTGTGCTTTACATGTCATCATGTGTTAAAAAAGCATTGCTTGTTACTATACTATTCATATATTCATATTCAGTCAAGTTCTTAGGACCCTACTATTCAAACTGAAATGTCAGAGCATCAGGCAATTCGTTATGCACCTGCTTGCTGTATATTAAACAAATCAGTTCTTTGTATGTATAATTACCTCCTAACCTGCTGTATCTCATTTATAATTTTTTTAAAAAATAATTTGATTGCATTTCAATCATATTATACTTCATTACTTTTTTTTGTTATTTTTAATCAGAATACTCGTTTGTTCGTTTCTAGAACCAGGCCAAATTTTTTTTTTTCACGAACGTGCCATGTAGCACGTATTTAGCTCCAATAAGGTGTCGCAGGTACTATCCAAACTGAACAAACCTGTGTATGGGTAAAATATAGTGCTCAAAACACTTGTACTGTGCTCTTCTATGCAGCACTCTTTATCTGAGATGGGCATTACTTCTATCCAATTTTTTGAGCGAATATGGCAGGAGTTCTGTCGTTTTATTAAGTTGAAAGCAAAGGTAGATATTTACAATGAATTGAGAGTTATTGACTTCCTACACTACCCTGCTAAAAACGACGACAAAAGTAAATCACAAAATTTCCATTGACTTTCACGGTTTCACCTACATATGTTTCTGTATATAATAGAATTTGTAGGTGCCTCAAGAAGCCAATGAAGGTACATGTACTAGGAGCCTGGAATGTTCTTTTTCTATCTTCCTAATTTCTCATTCAGACTGAAGCCTGGCTTAGTGGCAGTCTAAATTTCTGACTATAGTACAGCAAAATGTCATATAGTAGTGCGAGGAAAATCATAAGTAATCCCAAAATGAGTATGGCAATTCCACCATTGTACAAAGTGTCATTTTAACCCTTGATTGTCAAGTGGGTAATTCTAGAAAAACAGTGGAATTGCTTTGGAAAATCTAATCCTTCATCTTGCTCAGTTTAGCTACTTTGGTAATTATAATATATAACCTTTATGTAGTGTGCTATTTTGCACCATCGTGCAATTTATTGTTAAATCCATGATTTTTTATGATAAAAAATTATTTTTATTTTGTATTTATTTGGAGCTCATTTTCCATTTGAGATCCGTCATTTATTATTATTGACAATGAAGAGCAAAGGCGAACTATCAGCATGGGATGTAGCACCAAAGGCACAACATAGCTTATCAGTGATGACCTCTCAACCTTTTGCTTTAAGTTATTATGATGGACACCGATAACTGGACGATCTAGTAGGGCGCGGCAAAGCCGCGCCTGGGTTTCTAGTGGAGACATAGATGCACATCTCATTTCTCGGGAGTCAAATTTTTAAAAAAAATTTGATTAAGAATATAGAAAACAATATTTGTATCTCCAAATAAATTTATTATAAAAGTATACTTCATACTCATCTAATGGTACTTATTATACTGCAAGAAGTTGTATGCACACCGCACACGGAAGGTACATTTACAGGAGTGTGATCTCATTTAGCTTTTTGCATTATTGGTACGGTCTATCCAACAAACCCTTTTCCCCCAGTTTTGCATCATTAGCTTTTCACTACTTTAATTTGCCCACCACTAAGCCGTGATGATCATGGGATTATACTAGAGAGTTCAGTATAGCGGCCATGGCATGCATCACTGTCTATCGCCTTCACAGCCCTTTCTTTCCAATCAAATCATGTCATTAACCCTTGGTCCTACGCGGATGCAACAACCAACCAAGTGACAACTGCTAGCACCAGTCTACCACAGGACAGGTAACAAACTCGTGGCTGGCTGATTGCCACGCAAGCAAGCAACAATGAGGTGAAGTTGATGTGCAAGTATACTAGGAGCGGACTGTACCTCGTACTAGTGGCGGAAGTGAGCGTGTACACCACACCGGTGCCAAACAAGCTGAAGTTGAGGAAGAAACCGCAGAACAAATGGCTCTTCTCGCCTGCACACGTGGCAGCCAACGATTGCCTGTCAGTCGCATCAGTCGTACTCGCACCAACACAATTTCTTTTAGCAACTTCTTTCTTTGCAACTAGTAATATACTCCTAATATATACACACACCGAAAGCAACGGATCCTGACATAGTAATATCTAACCGTTTTATTTTCAAACTTGGTGATCCACGCTTGCTTGCTTCACAGTAACATGCATGCTAATGCAAATCAGTACGCAATTTTCAGTCACTATTTGTTTTATTATAGACTCCTACAGGGAGTCAAGGACTAGCATATATAGCGACCTATGGTCCTGCAAAACGCTTTCGTATTTATGGATGGATGGATGCATAATAGCAACAGGCTGGCTGACTGGTTCTGTCACGCACTCAAGGTGCAGGCTATTAATTGGAATGGTTGAACGATTCATACACTCACGGGCATGTTCGGTTGGCTGGTTCATATCGTTGCTGGTTTGTGAAGAAGTACTGTTGGCTGGTTTGTGTGAGAGAAAAATACTGTTCCGGCTAAAAATTTACAATCGTATACTATCATTTTCCTCCAACCGAACAGGCTGTATTCTGTCGAGAAAAAAAGGGCAAATCGACGATCGATGACTGACCGTACGTACCTAGGTAGAGGCGCACGGCGTCGACGTAGGAGCGGTTCCTGACGACGCCTCGCTCCGGGTCGTGGAAAATGTAGCAGTCGGCGATCAGGGTGGACTGCATCACGGTGACGCCGGCGAAGAACACCATAGCCGCCGGGCCGCCCACCCAGCCCAGCTGCGCCACGCTCCACGCCAGAGGCAGCACTCCGGACCCGATCACCGCCGTGATGATGTGCGCCATCGCCGTCCATATCGTGCCTGCGGGCGCCGCCGCCGCCGCCCACGCATGTGCATGCAGAACAAACAACGGCAAGCTGCTGATGAGCTAGCGAGCTATGAACCACATCACAAGCATGCACGGAGGGTTGAATTGTGTAGTTCAAACACACACAAATAGAAAGAGCTAATGAGAATGTGAGATGCACGCATACGGCGTCGGGTTAATTTAAAATAAAAAATATGCTAGAACTAATATAATCGTAGCTTGAACCTCGCTAAACATGCTAGATGTAATATAATCGTAGAAAGTTATATTACATATTTATTAATTATTGCATCTTAGATCAAATCTTTTATTAATTTTTTTTTTAAAACAGCTTTAAGTATGATAGGGGGCAGGTTTCGATCTTGAGTTTCCGTGCAAGGTACATGCATGTGCGTATCTCAACTCTGAAAGTTGCTTGCAGGAATCTAATATTTAGCCCGCTCCCCCCCGCCCCTATTCATACGGGTATATATATACTTCTTGTGCGTGCTGCGCCGTGTGGTCTAGTGCAGGGATGGCCGGCATGTGGTGCGCGGTAACCGGCGGCCGTGGGTTCATGGCGAGGTACCTCGTGGCTACGCTGCTCCGCTCCGGCGACTGGCGCGTGCGCGTGGTCGACCTCGCCCCCACCGTGATGCTTGGCGCCGGCGAGGCGGAGGAGCTCCTTGGAGCTGCCATCCAGGATGGCCGGGCTTCCTACATCCAGGGCGACGTCCGTGACCTCGCGCAGATCGCCAAAGGTTGTTTTGGCACTCCTCCTTTAAGCTACTCTCTCTATCGCGGGAAAGACACGATTCTAAACTGTCTTAATTTTGACTAAATTTATATAAAAAATATTTAATCCTTACTATAGTGTAAAGGTTGTTTGGATTCAGTATTGCTGATTGTTAGCGGCTAAAATTATTCCTGTGAACATGTCGCATCCATCACTTATATATACTACTTCACAAGCGAAGAGACACAACACAAGATATGTTTTTTCCACACAACACAAACAACACTGCTGGCTAGCTATTATAATTAGGCATATATGAGTTAAAACATAATCAGAAAAGCCTCAATCACCTTGACAATCTCTCAACATTCTTTACTCAAGGGCACATATCAACTTTGACTCCTCAAGGGTGCCGGGCAGGGGATGTTGAGAGTCTCAAGAACATCTACCAAACCTAAAACTGTATTAGCAGGAAATGAAGAGGTGGTTGTTGGATTCCCTATTCCTGAGCATAGGGCAGACACGTGGCTTTTGCATCTAGACAGTGAGCCTGTTCGGCATGACTGAAAAATACTGTTATGAGAGAAAAATACTGTTCTGGTAGGACATAAACAGTGATTTCGTAAGTGGGCTGGCCAGCCAGCCGAACGAGCTCAGTAACGATTCGAGATGGCAACGGGCACAACCCTGCTGGGTTGGCCAAACAAACACATGCCCATGAACATAAAATCCATCCACTAAAAACTCATGATCATCAGGAGCTTGATTTTGTGCCTAGATCCATGCTCGTTCGGGTCATGGGGTACCCAACAGGTCGTCCATGTCCATGTCCACAACTAGGCATGAAAATAGGATAGAAAAATTTCTGCCCGACCGAGACCGCATTTTTTGTTTTAAATATGCAGATGCCTGTGTGTTTTGGAAGGAACCAATAGTGACTACATTGGTCTATTTATATAGCCACTTGTGTGCTCCTCTCTTCTACGTGGAGGCGAGGTAAGTACGATACTGTGCAATCTCCAGCGGCAGGCTCCAGCTGTAATCATGCGGCTCCTGCTTGCTTGTTAGGCTATAATGGGCTTCTTGTTGCTAGATAATTAGCCACAAGAGCTGCAATTGTGCGCCTGCTGCTTGCTTGTTGGGCTATATATAATGAGCTTCTTGTATAGACTTGTGAATTTTATTCATAATCATACCCAATTGAGCCCCATTTCATCTCTCCTCGTGCTTAGGTCTTTTCAGCAGGTCGCACTTACACTTGTACTTGCTATTTTATTCAGCTTTTGAAGGGGTACACGTTGTTTTCCATACGGCTGCTCCAGATGCAATTAACGAAAACTTCGAACTTCATTACTCTGTCAACGTTGAAGGTTAGATTCTATTACTTACAGTATACTCCATGTGACAAAATATTCCATTTCATGCCATTTCAGTAGTGCATGGTATCTAGTAACACTGGTAATATGCTGACTAATATGGTGAGCTCTTGAACCCTGCTAGGTTCACGTTCAAGGTTCCACTACATAATTAAGGATTATGAAACTTCTATGCATTAGCAGTTGATAACTCAATTATTTATTTTTTGTTCATATGTTTCATTAAAATGTTTGATCAAAAAATATGTAGACACCCAATGTCGGGTTCATAAACCCGGGGTCCCTCATGGACCGGCTTCCCAACAAAAGCTCGGCCCAGCAGACAACGTTGCGAACAACACGCAACTCAAGGACCGACCCAAACACCTAAACAACAGGCCAGAGGAACAATCCAATCTCCGACCGGAATGCCTGGCCGAGGAGGAACGGCGCCCGCTTCCAACTCTAGCCCGCCTCTCCGACCGGAAGGCCTGGCCGAGGAGGAACGGTTCCCGCTTCTGACTCCGGCCTGCCTCTCCGACCGGAAGGCCTCACAGCACTCGCTTCCGACACCGGCCCACCTCCGGACGGCCTCTCCGTCCGGAAGGCCTGGCCAAACACCACTTCCGACTCCGACCCGCGTCTCCGACCGGGGATGCGCCGAACCCCTGCTTACAGCTCTTCTTCGACTGGCGCAAATCAGAGCCGGCTAGGACCAACCGACCGAGGACGCCCGCTCGGTGAGGACTAGGAAACGGACAGAAAAAGTAAGGCAGGGCACCCAAGTCAACCGCAATACCAAGGAACGTACCCTGTACACCTGCAGGATAGTACCAACATGGCATGTCAGACGGGTACCCTGCAACCTTCTGGGCATGTCAGAACCCAAGCAGTATTGTGGGTGTCGACATTTGCCCTATAGTGTTGTAGGCGCCATCAACTCCCATACCATACAAACACGGTAAGGCTCCCCCCACATGCCTCTAGACATCAATAGTGTTGTGGGCGCCGGCATTTACCTTACCAGACGAACACTATAAAACCCCTCACATGCCTCTGGGCATCAACAGTATAGCAAGCACTGACATCTACCATACCAGAAGAAGACGACGCAACCTCCCACGTGCATTTGACATTAAACAGTATTGTGGGCACCTACCATCATCTTGTACCCACCGGCATGGGCAACAAGACTTAGTAGCATGCGTATTCTCTCCCTCTCCCTTATAAGGCCATCCCCTTCATCTATAAAAGGGGATGCTCTCTCTCCCGATAGGGAGAGATCCCTCAGTTCACTTAGATCGATTCAACACACAACAACAGAACCATCAGGTTCAGACCTCGAGCACACGATCGAACACTTAGCACATAGTGGAGCGCCTGTCTCTCTCGGTCCTTCAGACTAGAGTCCGACCAGACCTCTTGTACCCCCATCTTTCTCCTTTCATTTGTAACCCTACTGCAAACTTCGAGCACCTGGGCTCAGGAATAAAGTCACCGACCGACTCAAACTGGACGTAGGGCACGTTGCCTGAACCAGTATAAACCCCGTGTCATTGAGTGCTAGGCCACATCCGATCACAACGTACGACAAAACTACAAATATTTACGTGTTGGTCACTTTCTGCACCGACAGTTGGCGCCGTCCGTGGGGAAGACGCTGTACGTTCACACTTTTGGTCATTAGATGGCCCACTTTTTCGCCATCTTCGCCATGGCGGGCTCAAGCGATACGACTCGCTTTGGCTCACTGGAGTTTCCCGCACTCCCACCTGTGGGGATGTGGGTTCCGCCCGTCTTTGAGCCATCCCAGGCCTTCCTCTTCGGAAGCCTGGACTTTGTCGCCGACCGGCTCGGCGTAACACATCTCCGTGAGGAGGCACTTGTTCCGGCGCCCATCGGAGGCGCACCCTCCATCGGATCCAGGACGCATGACGACTTCAACAATGAGGCGTTTGTGCTTCATTCCGAGCAAACTCTCAGCTCAAACCCCGCTGTGAGTAATATGCATACTATTATTTACTCTCTATTTACTATCTCCCGCCGATTATCCAGAGGGACCGTATTGTCCGCACCGCAAACACCATACGACCGGTTCCCCTATGGCCTCGCGCCCCCTGCAGACGCTTGGGGGATCCGAAGGACGCTGGCGCCGCCCCCTCTCACATCTGAATTCATGAGAATGGCGAGCTATGCTCCCACCAGTTTCCATGAACTCCTGGACGATGAGGTTGAGAGCAACGACTCCAGCATCGGCGACGTGGCACCTAGCCACCGTCCGTCCAGGGAGTGCGCTATGGCGGACGCTCCGGGATAGCCGCCGGTGGTTGCAGAGTCTTTGCAGACTCACACCCCTCCGAACCCACATGCGGGGGTCCTCGCGCTCGCATAGGAGCACGCCGAGGAGCTACAGCAACGGCGGCAGAACCAGCCGCCGCCTACGCCGGCGTTCTCGGTGCAGCACATTGCGCCCCATGCGCGTGACTCGACGAGCGGCGCCCGAGGTCACGCCCGCTAGGTCTAGCATGACATCATGAACGAGGGGAATGACCCCCATAGTTCACTCGGGCTAGCCAGAACATCACCGCTGCGGCAATGCTTCTGCGCGGCGTTCCCGAGCCCGTCGACCCCAGGAGCGGGCGGTCTACTGGAACCTCCAGGCACTGGTGGAAGCCGCCGTTGTTCAACAAGCAAAAAGCTCCACATCGCGACTCCGACTTGTGCCTTCTCTCCCCACTAGGGGAGTGGGGACGCACCAGACGGATCGCTCCATCCGCTCACCGCTACAGCAGCCGAGCGTGGCTCGGGAGGCCGCGGCTGCGTCGCGGTCCGACTTGGTGCCTGCTCCACACCAACTGCCGGTACATGAATGGCTCAGTCCACACCAAGACGCTTGTAGCGTCATCAGGAACCAGCATCAGGCCCGGTATGATGATGACGACCTTCGGGCGGCGGTGAGGACAGGCGACACGGGCCTCGGCCGGACCATCGAGGGGAGCGGTGAAACGCGCCCCAGGCATGGTCGCCGGCTAGATGACTGGAGTCCCAGCCTGGATGGCCTGGGACCACGGGCCTTTGGCCGGTGTATCCAGAGAGCGCCGTTCGCACAGCGCTTCTTACCGCCCACCAACATCGCCAAGTACACCGGGGAGACGAACCCTAGTATCTGGCTTGAAGATTTCTGGCTCGCCTGCCGAGCCAAAGGGGTGGATGATGACCATTTCATTATTCAATATCTCCCCATCTGCGTGGGGGAACACGTTCGGGCGTGGCTTGAATTCTTCCCACACAACAGCATCCGCAACTGGGCGGACCTCAAGAGGGTCTTCGTCAGAAATTTCTAGGTGACGTATGTCCGCCCTGGTAACTCCTGGGACCTCAAGAGCTGCCAGCAGGAGTCCAGCGAGTCCCTGTAGGATTACATTCGCAGGTCCTCCCAACGATGCAACTCCCTCCTTGATGTCATCGACGCGGATGTCATCAGCGCATTCCTCTCTGGGACGACCTGCGAGTCCCTTATCCATAAGCTTGGCTGCCTGAAGCCCCGTACCACCTGTGACCTGCTCGATGTCGCCACTAACCATGCCTCCAGCAAGGAGGCGGTCGAAGCGATCTTCAACGAAGGCTGGGACAAAGGCAAGGCCAAGCACGTGGACCAAGATGAGGGCAC